CCGAAACACTAAGTGAGATTCGCGAATCGTATGAAATTGCAGCTAAAAAAATAAATCTATGAAACTTTACCAACCTTCCTCCAAACCCTTCTTTCGAACGAAAGAAAAAAGTAGACAATCTTCTGATTTCGATTTTTTTAATTTCTTAAAAAAGAAAAAACAAAAATCTAGAAAAATTTCGAAACACTAAATGAGATTCGCGAATTGTATGAAATTGCGGCTAAAAAAATAAATCTATGAAACTTTATCAACCTTCCTCCAACACTCTTCTTTCGAACGAAAAAAGAAGATGGTAAACAACCTTCTGATTTTAATTTTTTTAAAAAAGAAAAAACAAAAAACAAAAATTCGAAAACTTTCGAAACACTTTGGAATCAAAATCTCCGATTCGATGCGAGAATCTTGCCGATTCTTGAAAATTCATAGAAGAATTTCCTCTTAGTTAGTCTGAAAATTGATCTGATTTTTACCCAAGAGCAAGTTCTTCCACAAACGCGATGCCGCAATCCGAGGCACCCACGACGACTATCTTCGAATCAACGACATTACCAAGCATCATGGACAATCTTGGCGTCGTCAAGAAAAGCGAGAAAGGTTCGGTTTCTTTTTTAGGTTTCCTGTCCGTTTCGATTAGATTACGATACCGATATTTTATTCTTCGCCGGGGATACACGGGGATCATTACGGTCAAGCATATCGCCAGAGGATGCATACGTGTCTGAAAACGATGTGACGACGTGTATTCTTTTCTTTTATTTTCATCCAATTGAAATTTTGTGATTTCACAAAAGGTATCGATTTCAAATTTTTTTTTTTTACCAGCGTGCTCAACGAGCTCTGCTCGAGTCGATAGTAAAAAACAATGAAGCCGCTCAGACGTGAAATCTCGCTGATGATGAATGGTATGTGAATGGAGAAGATTGGCATTAGGATGAAATGGAGGATACGGGCGTAAGCGTTGGGTGGAATATTTTGTATCGCTATGTAATCCTCGATGTGATAACGTCGCTTGATGTACGAGGTCTCGTTCTCGACGCTGGTGTCGAATTCATCATTTCAAACTATTTTCTCTCAAAAATTTCGTAGAAAGAAAAAGGAATAAATTTCCATAGGTTTACCAAATAATTATAAGACCGATAATTATGTTGTTCCACTTGAAGATGTAAGAATACATGTCCGATCGTTTCTTAATCGTCGCTCTATCGAAATCGTGCAGAACATACTCCGATTTTCGAATCCTTTTTAAAAATTTCTTCAATAAGAACTTGTCGAGAGGCTTGCCAGCGCGGAGCGATATCCTACCCAGAAGAGCGGCACGATGCGTTACATACAAACTCATTGGAAAATCTTTGTTGCACTTCGGAGACACCCGCTGTTGAAAAATGTACGCGATCGATCAATTATAATCAATTTCGATTATAATACATATAAGCTTATCGTTGAAAAGAAATCGAATTTCGTACCACGAAATGATGGAGCAGAGGCATGAAAACGTGATTGGAGGGCAAAAGGATCACGCAATATTCCAAATCGGGAAAGCTCTCGAACGCGGCCTCGATGAAATTCCTGCTTTCCCGAAGTTTCATTTTCTGTTTCATCGCGAAAATCTCGAGAACGAACGCGTTCACTTGACCGTGGTAAACCGGCTGTTCGGGAATATAGATGTCCTCCAATTGTATGTCCTCGATTATGCTGGTAACCATCGTCTGTCCTTCGTTTTTTAAAAAAAAAAAAAA